GCAAGCGGACCTGACCTAGGGTGGATTTTACATTGGGTTTTAAATATTCGGAAGACGCAACATTAAAATTCGGTTTAATTCGGTTTTAAGGGGGGGATTGTATATATGTTCTGGTTTTAAATATGTTGTGCGCCGCCCTGAGTCCCTGTCGGGAGAAGGGCGGCATATAAATTAAATTAAATAAATAAATAAAATAAATCATGTGTATAAATGTAGGAAAAACAGTTTAATCTGAACTAGAGAGAACATCACAGCTGTATTTGTGGCATCTCCCTGAGCTTAAACTGTGATTGTTTCACTATTGTAAGAATCACAGAATCTCCATAAACATGTAAGAATCACACTGTCTCCCAATTCTGAGTGGGGAAAAAGGTGAAAAGTAAGATGAAGGGGCAGGATTAAAGCTTGAAAAATGGGGAAAAAGACAAGATAGCAAAGATCCAGTCTAGCATTAGTATCTAGGAAGATTCTATAGCAGATCACAAAATATCTGATTTACAAGGACTTTGAAAACTACAAGAATTACGATAAGTCAGCAAGAATTTATCAAGAACAAATCTCACTAGAGTAACCATGCTTCACCAAACTCTACTGCTTTGTGTCTCATTCTGAGCACCACACTTGAAGAAGGATTAGGAGATATCAGGAAAGGTTCAAAGATGGGTGACAAACATTATCAAGGGACTAGAATATAAGTTTATGAAGAGAGATTGAAGGAGCTGAAAAAAGATGACTGAGGTCAGTATGGTAGTACTCTTCAGCTAAAAGACCTGAAAAGATGCTACACAGAAAAAGATCAAGACCTTCTTGCTTCAGAATACAGGAATAATAGATTTAAGCGATAAGGCAGGTTCTGATTAGAAAAATTAGATATTGGGGGGAAAAATCATAGTATTCGGAGAAGTGGTATGCTCCCATTCCTTGGCTACATTGAAGCCAAAGCGAAAATAGTCATTTGTCGGAAATGGATTTGAGGGCCAAAATAGCCCTTTCTAACTCAATGATTCTAACTCTCTGTATTTCCTAATCTTGGTAATTTAAATTAAAACTGCAAATATGATTGAGGTACACAACTTAGTGAAACATGCAGTTTCCGTATTATCGCAATTAGTTACACATTACCTTGCTTTTTCAACAGCTATCGGGATGAGACAAAAGATTATCAAAGGGCTAGAATCAGTTCACGTCACATTAGGAACTTATGGATTGAGAAGTTTTTCTATCCCACTCATTTGTGCTTCATTTTTCTGACAGAGATATGAAAGTCAACAGAAGTTCTTGCACATTATCACGGCCAGGTATAGAGATTTCTGTACAAGAGAAACACTGGAAAGGCGGTCTCAACATTCTAGTGCAAGTGTTTCTCAACCTTGACCATTTTAAGGCATGTGGACTTCAACTCCCAGAATTCCAGCAATGCTGAATTCCAGAATGCTGGCTGTGGAATTCTGGGAGTTGAAGTCCACATGCCTTAAAATTGTCAAGGTTGAGAAACACTGTTCTAGTGCAGGGGTAGTCAACCTTGGCTCTTTTATGACTTGTGGACTTCAATTCCCAGAATTCCTGAGCCAGCTTAGCTGGCTCAGGAATTCTGGGAGTTGAAGTCCACGAGTCATAAAAGAGCCAAGGTTGACTACCCCTGTTCTAGTGGGTTGCCTTATTTAACTTACCCTCCGCTGAGCACTCAACAGTTATTACAGCAGTACGTTTCTTATTGACCACCTTCTTCCTTTTGTCTACTCCTGCCGGATTCAGGTGTTTCCGAGAAGCCGCTCCATTGCAACCATCCACGTTCAACGCTGGGACACTTTCAGCGGCCACCCTGCCCGCTGGGCCTAGCAAGCCACGTCGACCAGCTGCTATAACTGCCTCCAGGGCTTTCACAAAAGAGGGGTTTGGCGGGGGGGCCTCGGGATCAGGGGGCTGGGCGTATTTATTTCCCACGGCGTTAGAGACCCCGAGGCTAGCGTCGTTGGGCCTGATGGGTACCATTGCAGAAAGATTCGGGCCGTTTGGGACGATTTCAACTTTACGGCGGAAACAAGGGACGCTTCCCCCTTCCAAGGACCGTGCTTAGATAAAGGCCGACTTAGGCTGGAGAGGCGGCGTGAGCGGACAATGCTCCACCCGAACTAGAAGGAGCCGAGAACTCTGCCGCGGGGCCACGACAGGCAGGGGCAGAGTAGAGGAACTTCCGAGGCAGATGCGGTATTAGTGACTCTAGGGCCGCAAGGCGTCCAAAGTCCTGCCCTTGCCCTGCCTCGCCCCCCTCAACCCTGCGACTCCGGGGCTTCTTCTCTGGGAGACAGGCCCTGCTAGCCTCAGCCGTTCCTGCTAAGATGGCGGGAGTGCCAGGGAGCCCGGCTCCGAAGAGCTTCGCGAAGGCCGAGTCTCTGTCCGGCAACTTTTGCGCGACAGGGACTTCTTAACACGTCCTTTCCGGCGGCTGTTGCAAAGATCACACTCAACAGCCGTGCCTCTCCATCGAGTCGTCCACGCCGCGGGTGGAGGCGGGGGCGGTGTAGCCAAACACAGCGGTCCGTTGCCCCGGAAACCACTCTCCGGTCACGTTCCCTCTTCTAATCCCGACTGAGAGTTAATCAAGAGTTACGGAACAAGAGCAACAAAAGAGAAACGGCGGGATCGAGAAGAGAACGGCTCCGCCCGGCCACCGTAGCTTTAAAAAAAAAAAAAAAGCCTAGAGGCTCAGAGTTACGCATGCGCATTAACTTCACTGGATTCTATAGATGAGTAAAATAGAAGCGTACGGCGCGCTCGTTTCTAAGTTTCTTTCAATCCCTTTGTCTCCTGGGAAGAATCGGGCCCTGTAATAGAAAAACAGCGGACTAATCCAGAATTTTATTTTGTTGCTATTACAAAGCAAATAGTCCCTCTTAAATTATGTGAAAAAGTTATTTACCACAGCAACATTAGCTATTGTGCTTTGAATTTTTAGTCTTAGGAGATATATAAGCAAGAAAAAAAAACCCGATAAGTTGAACGTTGCCCAAAGCCAACAAGCTCAACAGCAGCAAACCCCATCTTCCGCAAAGAGCATTATTACTTGCGGGGTTTAAATATGTGTAAATATTTCTAACCTTTTTAAGAAATCCAAACACTCAAACATAAAACCCTAGTAAGAAATGACGTAAACTCTTCCATCTTTTTAAACTAGTTTATGGTTTGTTTTTCCCGTTTCTTAAGAGCAAATCCCACTTCCGCTAGAGAAGAGGAAAACTGAGTAAACGACCATCTTAAGCAGGAAGTTGTAATGGGTGGGTTGTTCTTCGTTTTCTTAGATCTACATTCCTCTGTGAACTCCAGGAACATGCGCTGCGCGCCGTTTCCCATGTGTAGATCAGGAGTCGGCCCGAGCGCTACAAGAAGGCGCATGCGCAAAAGGAAAGATCGTTTCAAAGAGCGAGCGATCTTTTATATATTGCATCCCTTGCGCAGTGTCTTACTGGGGTTTAGGCTAGCTGGATTTTTTTTTGGGGGGGGGGGGTGATACTGTGCCAGCATATCTGCCTGATTCATAAACGCACTAAACTACAAAGACTGTTTGCATGGGCATTTTATCCTTGATTAATTAATCTCAATCTGATTTTGATTGAACGGGGAAAAATTGTTCCCATTACATAACAGAATAAAATGTAAGTGGCTACTTTATGGCTCTGTATTCGGCAACCTCAGCTCTGAATAGGTGCAGGCTTCAAGTAGTTGTGACTATAGCCTTCCTTGGAATTAATTGGGACCATATGATTGACATTAATGCTTATGCCATCCCAAAGGCTAGTTGCCTTGGTAAAAGGGCAAAACTTAATTTGACTGTTGCCTTAAAAAAGGGATTTGTCAAGCTGAAAAAAGAAATATTTAAACAAATATTTAGCCAATCTACACTACTGCAACTAAAAATTGATAATAAATTCCACTCTGGCTGTAACATATAACAATGAACTGCAAACTAAGCGGCCTACATTTGGCCTATTTTGTTGGGCAACCCATCCTTTTATATGGTTGATTATTCTGTATGTTGTATGAACACACCTAAAATGTGATGCTTTTTGACAAACAACTTTACATAAATTTATCTGGTGGAAAAAAAGCAAAATCAAAGATGTGATGGAAGACACACTGAAACAGACTTGTAAAAAAGGAGTAGACTTTGCATCACAACATTGTAAACCTTGCCTTTTTTGATCCTTTCCCTCATTCCCAATGGACACCATTTTCTTATCATAATGTATAAACTCATTTATAGATGAATCATAATTTTGTCTTTGTTCACTATACTACCAACCTAAGGGACTAATATTTAGACTAAAAAGGCAGAAATACATATAATTAATTCAGAGGCATTAAAATATATTAGTCATTTTAGAATAAATGTTATAGATAAAATAATTGGTCAGAGCAAATGGTGATAGTGGAATTTTTTTTTCCTTTCTCATCTTTTCTCCTGCAGTGTTTTCCCCTTCTTTCTTTTCTACTGCAGTCTGGCTAGACGAGTAATTAGGCTTAGCAATGAGTTATTTCTTCATAAACATGTCTATGTATTGGTAAGTGGAGTGAATGTCTTTTACATGATAGAGAATTAAGTGGGATAGTTTATAACCCAGAAGACAAAAATAAAATTCAAAACTATTTTAACATATTTGGCAAATGGACTAAAATAACATTAAATTTAGCAAATACAAAATGGTGTACTTCATATGCAAAAAGCAAATGCACAGGGTCAGAATGGGAAATAAGTAATATTACTTGTGAAAAAGATCCTGCATTAATATTTGATTGCACACAAAATAGCAATCAATACTGTGAAAGGGCTGCAACGATGGTAAAATCCAATTTTGGACATCAGCAAAAGCATAGTTTCACTATATTCTGTATTTATTGTACCCACCTCAATTTAATGTCTAGTACTGAGCATCACACTTTAAGAAAAATTCAGACAAACTCCAAATGTTTCATAAAACATTGAACATATTTTGTAATGAGCATGGTTAAGGGAATAGAAAAATGTTAGGAAAATTTGAACAGTTTAACAAGAAATAGTGTACTCCATTAGATCTGTCCAAGCAGAGGTCAAATACCTATTTGTTGTATTTTAATTTAGATTCTTTCATAGAGTAGACAATTGGATTTGAGGTCACAGTACCTCTCCTGATTCTGTAGTTCTTTGATTTCACAATATAATTTACATTATTTAAGTCCAACCATTGCAATTGTATAACCCATGGTTTATGTCTTAGTCTGGTGTATGAATTCAGTTGGTTATGGCTTCATATGATTTGTAAACTCAGTCAGTTTAGATGGAACTTACAATGTCAACTTTAGGACTGGTGTAGTTTAAAGCTTTAGGGATTTGTACACGGAACAAAACAGTTCACAATCCTGTGGATCAATGCCCTTTTCTGACATGACTCATTTGCAAAGCTACTGTCACCAGTAGTCCTAAATTATCCTCCTTGAGAGTTAAGGAACCTCCTTTAAAACATTTTTTCTAGCTGCCTGGTATATAAAACACTAGTACTTAACTACAAAGTCCTTAGATGTGTTGTGAAATATTGAGCTCTTATAGTGCATCCTTGGTGCTATCAGGAAAGTAAGCCTGAAGTGAAAAAAAAGAAAGAAAAAGCTAAAATGCTGATTTACTCTAAAGCGGTAAATTTAGGGCAATTTCTGTGTCTGTGCAGTTTTCAGTTTCTCTTTCCTTACCTCAAATAGCACAAACACAAATACCAAGCTTTCAAGTAGATCACGGGGGTCAAACTCGCCACATCACGTGACGTGTCACGATGTATTGCGACTCTTTTTGCATTGCCGGCAATGGAGTGAGCGCAGCTTCGGTATGATGAAACCGGTCTGCGGGCTGGCAGTTTGACACCCCTGAAGTAGCTAGTCAGTTGGGCACATATACATATCATTTTGCCACCAGTCCTGAAGGATGTGTAACAAGAATTCTTTTATTTAAGCAAAAAAAAAAAGTTTCAAAAATAATTAAAACAACCAAACATTCTTTCAGCAGCATCCTATTCCCCATTGTAGTATAAATTGTTGGAGAAATACTCCTAGACCTTCTCTGCCACCTGGGTGATGAGGTTTGAGTCTGTTCTACTGCCAGGATACATCTCAAGATCTCCCAAACTTTATTAACAATCTGCAGTCTTAGACAAACAAGGGCTTGTTTGGTAAGTTTCCCTGGTGAAAGACCCTGAATCTACATGCAAGCAAACTTACATAGTAAATTTCATACAAAGCATTTCAAATGGTGCCATAGCATTGGCTAATCTACATTTGATCATTTACACATTTCTAAGGAAGTAAAAAAAAATCCCTCAAAAGTTTACATTTGACAATCTATCATAATTAGGGCATTTCCAGAGCAATCTTCTGGAGAGATTATTCCGTTATCTATAATAACAGCCATTTGTGATACAACTTGCATCTCCACTGCAACCTTGAAACTGCATAGCCAGAGTACATGTTTGCTTTTCTATTCAGGGCTGTTTCAGCTAACTTCACATCCTAATAACAAAGTCATTTTGGCCTCTTTATTAGGACTAAATTCCTCATGAATTCCTCCCCACAATTCCTCTGGGTCCATCCATCTACTACAAAAAACGGTGTCTAAATTATCTCTTTAAAAAGAAAATAAAAGTATTTGCTGTTCTACTTCAGCAGATGGCAGCACCAAATCAACGTTGCTGACCTTGGATGTTAAGTAAATTCGTGGGCTGGGGAGTGCCTTCCAACAGGGTTGACTCCTGCTGACTTCCTGGACTGCCTCTGCAGTTTTCCTGGCAAGTTTTTCAGAAGTGGTTTGCCTTGCTCCTTCTTAGGACTGAGAAACAGGGACTAGCACAAAGATTTTCCCTCCCCCCCCCCCCGCTGATTTTACGCGTAAGGTGGGACTACTTTAAGGAGCCTGGTAGCACCTTTTCAGAATAACAAATTTCATTAAATGACCTGAGATTTTGTGAGCTATAGCCTACTTTAACTCAAGTCAGTAATAGAATCAGTAAAAGGGTTTTTTGTTAGGCTGAGAAGCTGAAAAAAACACATCCCACACTAAGGCAATGCCACTTCTGTAATGTTGCTTTTTAAACACTGTGGATGCAGTAATCAGAAATCTAACAATTCACACATTTGTCATCCATAATCCTTATCAAAATATTTCATCAAAAATGTATACAAAACTATGTAACTTCTACAGTTTGACACTTTTTATCTTAAGTATTTACACATTTCTTTGAAAACAAAGTTGAGTAAAATGACAGACGGGTTTACTTGTTTTTAGATTTATAGTAGTGTTTCTGATATATTAGCTCCATTTATCAGACTCATTGGTTACTTACATTTTATCAAGACAATTCTTTTTGAAAATGTCTCCATCATGTTACAGATAAGTTCAAAGACAGCTTGTCAAATATCATTCACTGCCTGTAATATATCTGCCAGCAATAGGATATTTGCATTCAATAACAGTGTAAGGTCATTGTAAGAAATTACAACAGCATTTGGTATATTTTAGCTCCTTAAATATTGATTTGACATAACTAAATGACTTTTATTCTTTCTAAAATCATTTTTATAAGATAAAATACAATAAAAATATTGCATTTTTATATACAATATATTCTAATCATGTTGAAAACTACAGCTTTTACACTGAAAGGAAAAAAAACTTACAGTCTACATGTCATAAAGCTTAAGTTGTTCTTTGATATCAGATTCTGACATCTCTCCAAAAGTGTCTGACTTTTCCTTTAGAAGGGTGAAGATGGCAGCTAGCTGCTCTCTCTGAACCCTGCCAAGAACAGAAAGGAAAAAAAATGGAGATACTTTTATTCTGAGAAAGATAGTGAAGTTTGACAAGATAGCTTGCAGCATGGGATATTTCCTGTCTGAAATTTTAAAAAATGCATGATGGTATGTTAATAAAATTTTTTTTTCACCCTATGCATAAAAGACTGCACACATTTGATCTGAAATGCTGGGAATCTTGGTTCTGAATCTCCCGTCAAGATGTTTATTTATGTGGGGTGGCCCCACATACTTTTAGAAACACGTTTTCACTTCTAGCAAGCTACCTCTTGCATGGATTCCTTGATATCATGAATTCCAATGTATATTTTGGGTTGTGAAAAATTACACAAGACACCATGACTATTCATCTACAAATTAAATAATTTAAATGAGTGAACAATCTCTTCTAGTGAAAAATAGCACATCGTAAGGATCATTTTCAAGAACAAACAACATCTAAGACAGGGATGTCAAACTGCCGGCCCACGAGCAGGATGCGTCACGCAGAAGCTGCGCCCACCCCAGCTCTAGGAAAGGGGAAAAAAGTTGCAATATGTTGCGACACATCACGTGACATGGCGAGTTTGACACCCCTGATCTAAGATATCCAGTAGGTTTTACAAATGTACTAGTATTGTACTACCATATTATCACTATTTTCTGATATTATTAATAAGGAGATCCACCAACTAATCAGTTGAAATGTGGACACAATTAGAGGCAAATGAAGATGCTTGTACAGTACTGTCATTCAGTGAATGTGGGCTTGAATATGACATTAGATGGAGCTCAGTCTGGGATTATCTTACCTACCCTCTTAAGAGACTGGGAGCCTCAATCCATCTTCTAATAGGTAGCTCTCAACTTATCACTATAACTGGGATCAGATTTTCCATCACTAAACTATGGAGTCGTAAAGCATAATGTCACATGACTGCATCACTTTACAACAGCAATACCAGCAGTCCTAGTTGCTCCAGATGTATGGGTTGTTAAGTGGGAAGCAGGGGGAGTCCATGAGGAGGATGGGGGTGCTGCAAGGGGGTGGAGGAGGCCTAGCACAGGCAAGCCATGCATGAGTTCAGGGACGCCGGGGAGAGAGCGTATGGGGTTTGTGAACACGTGTGCAAGCACAGGGAGGCTGGGGATGGAATAGGGTGTGGTTCAGGAGACTCTGGGTCTGCAAGAAGCTCCTGAGCCACAGGGCAAAGCCACAGCCATCCCTGGAAGCCTCAGCTGACCCAGCCCAGTAGTGCTACGCAAAACCATTATGCTAAGGGAAGTGCCAAGAGCATGGTGCAAAGCCATAGAATTCCAGCAAGCGTCAACAGCAGGGGTCTTTAAACGTGGCCCTTTTATGACTTGTGGACTTCAACTCCCAGAATTCCTCAGCCAGTCCACAAGTCATAAAAGGGCCACGTTTGAAGATCCTTGGTCAACAGCATGTGGCAAAGCCACTGTGCCCCAGAAAGTGCCCAAGACCCAGCCACAGTTGCCTTTGCCACTCTGCATTCCAAGCCCAACCCCACCCTTCAGTCTGCTGCACCACAGAAAGTGCCAACAGCATGGTACAAAGCCACAGCGTCCCAGAAATCACCCCTGCTGCACAGCTGCCCCTGAACCCCGCCCACAAAAAGAACTAGATGGGTAGGGGGGAGGTGAAGCAACTCCTGAGGTTGTAAGTGCAGGCAGGCTGTCAAGTCCCGTAATTTGATTGTGAAGTGCTGCAACAACCGTAACTGTCAGGTCCCCAAATAAATGTACTGCTTCCTTTCTTACAGTATACTTGCTTTTGTAACCATTTTGGGGGGCCTGCCATTCTGTTGGGAGGGGGCAGTGGTGGGATTCAGCCGGTTTACACCACTTCAGCAGAACCAGTAGCTAATTTTTTGTTGCCCAGGCCCAGAATGGACTTCCGGAAGTGGCATCTACACAGAGAACTGGTTGTTCACATATTTGAATCCCACCATTGGGAGGGGGGATGTCTTGGGGATGCTTTGCACTGTCTGGCCACTATGCCCTTCCCCCAGGATAAGGAATGCATCATCCTTATCCAAGAGACGGTTGGCACTTGGAGCCAGAAGGAAATGAAAGCAAGAGAGACCTTGAAGAGCCGAGCCATCAGAGACAGTTACCAAAACATTATGCCACCTGTGGATTGGCTGGAATTCAAAAGAAAACTGGGACTGGGGGAGGGGGAAGAGTAATGAATAGTGGTTTTAATAAACTGCTTGCAGGGGTTTTACCTCAGATCTCTCCTTGTTTTCTCTGCTATCACTAGCCCCTAATAAAAGTTCATTTTGAGACAATGCCTGTTTCAAGAGTTCTGCTTTCTTGGGTGGCTTAGCTGAGGTAGGTCCTTACAGTAACTTTTGGGACTGATTAGTCAGTCACTTTTTCAGTGCTTCTGTCACTCCAAATGGGTGCTGAATGAATGGTTGGAAGTTAAGGATCACCTGTACTGTCTTAACATTAAAAGAAACATTTTTTACCCGGGGCTTAGAAAGTATTTCGCTTATCTTAGTTTCACAGGGGGATTCTTGGCTTTCTTCATTTTTCCAAAGTTTGCTTTGGTACTGCTGAGTACTATATAAATATGGCACAATATTCAGGTTTTCTGCTAATGCTGCCTGAGCCCCTTTTTTGCATTAACTAATGCTTGTATGAACTCCAGATTATGGTAGAGGGCAGGAAGACCTGGAGGAACGTTGTCCATGGAGTTGCGATGGGTCGGACACGACTTCGTAACTAACAACAATGCTTGTAGTATGCCTAGACCTGTCACTTATTCCACCTCTGCCATCATCTGCCAGAACTCCTTATAAGTAAGAGGGCATTTTTAAAGTTTCTGAAGTCTCTCTCTGATCTTTGGGTTTTTCTTTGGATGGCCATTGCTCCCTTTGATGCCCCTCTTCCTACTTCCATGCTGACCAATGCGGATTCTTACATACTTGCTCTCAAAAAGCGCAGGCGTCAAGTTGTAGATGCTCCTAGGATTTTTTTTTGTAAATGCCTATGTGCCCATAGCATCACACCTGTCAGTCCACCAAGAAGGGGTGGGGAGAGAAAAAAAACCCAACAAAATCATGCCAGGTCATAATGTGGCATATTTGGTTTTTAACACAGTGTAAAAGTGTCAATCCAGTTGCCCACATAGGTAGGCAATTTTTCCCCTTGATGTCTTCTTTAGCAATTACAGTGGTACAAATTATGCAGATGCATAGGTTTACATATGTAATATTAGGCTGAAGATTTAAGAACTGACATTGGGAGGGAAAAAATCACTGGAAACCCTATTCCTTTTTTATTGCACTTCTAAAAAGACTTGGATTTTCAACGTGCTTGGCTCAAAATTATTACCAGCTGTGAAAAATGGCCAGCAAAGTTTACCTGTATGCAAACATCCTTAGTTAAGATAGTATTACTCTTGTAATTACATCTATACAGTTGTATGCAAAAGTTTAGCTTGATCAAACTGTGTTTCAATGAATCCCTAAGTGAACAGAACCTTTACATAGTACAAAATTAAATTTTCTCTGCAAATTTGAATGCATGCTTACTATTTATGCGTAGTTGTTAATAGATTCAAAACAAAACAATGGTGAATATTGCAGGTGTAAAACATTTGGACACCTTTCCAATCTGTATTTGTAATATTTCCTTTGGAAGAAATAACCACTTCCAACTGTTTCTTGTAGCCACCTAAGGGTCTTTCTATTCTTGCTTTTGAAATGTTTTCTTACTTTTCTTTGCAGAATATTTCAAGTTCAGAAATAGTCATAGGTTTCTTTGCATGCTATGCTTGATTGGGATCTCTTTATACATTTTCAGTAATATTCAATTCTGGGGACTGTGAATGACTTTCTTTCTTGTAAGAATTTAAAGTATAGTTTTGTTTTCTAAGGCCAATCCATCATATCTTTTCTAGTTCAAATTCAAATCTGAATTTATTGGAAGCAAGAGCTGTGTGCCTACTATGCATATTTACAAACACAATGACCAGTCATGAAAACTATTTAAATGTTTATTGAACTGAAAAATGGCAATATACATTTTGAAACTGCTAGAAATTATATAATCCTTTATACAAGATCTACCTTCATATTTAGAAAAAAAACAAAACAAATCCCCCCCCCCACTCAGACAGCATTATTTGTCATTATTGAAGAGATAGCTTTGCTCATTGCCACTAGGCATTTTCCTTATATATGTATTGCTGCATACTGAAAGATTATATTGTATATAAGGCATTCTTTGCATAGTTAATGGTGTTTTGAACACTGAGTCTATCAATGTGAATTGGAGGCAAAGTGGTTGCTAACAAATATCTCAAAGCAGAGTGTCCTTATATGAATGGGATTGGGTTGCAAACTGTACTATATTAGTGAAAAAAGATATAGGAATGGAAGCTTACCGTTTAAAAAATAATTATGTCAAAGCTTCCTACTGTTTCTTAAATAAGCCTGGGGGCGGGGGAGAGGGAATTAGTCTAGAGGAAAACAGTTCTTAAACCTATGTGTCCCAAAGAATGATTGACTAAATAATTTCAAGTATTTCCAAATAATAACGATTTTGTTTCAGAAAGTTACTGGGGATGGATTATGAAGCTTTCCCTCAAAATATAGGAGAGCAACATTTTTTAAAAAAATCCAATCTATCAAACAGGAAGTGATTATCAGTAAAACATCAAAATTGATGTGGTGACAGAATAGTGACACAACACAAAAAAAATGATGTATCTTTAATCTTGTTTAGGAAATGTAAAATTGGTAACCAAGGGGCCATTTTACATTCCATAGCTCACATTTTCAGATTCCATTCTTGGGAACAGGCTTGAAAGTAAACAAAAGAATTAGCGAATGAAGTGCTTTTAATCATTGTAATTAAAATTAGTCACAAATTGTTATACTAAGACTGCACTCCTATACTCTTATTTAGGAGTATGCCCCACTAAATTCAGTGGGACAAACTTCTAAACTTATGTGTATATGATATAGGATTATAGGGTAAATCTTTATTGTTTCTTAGGACTTCCTTCTGTCCAAGATGAAATACTGTTTCATTTCCAAGAGGCCAGAGTCTGTATCATGCAACCAGCCTTCCATCTGTGGGTGGAAGGAACCTTCAGAAGGTTTAATATATTACAGTTCTGTCTTCAAATTTATCTAGAAGGTTTTTTGGTCCAGGACAGAGAGGTGAAAAGGGGTCAATTCTAGCTTGTTCTACCATCCAGGCAGAAAACAGGTCCATTGTACAATAACTGATCATTTTTGTCCAGGTTATCTAGTTAATCTTTTTTTCTTTTTGTTTTGTTTGGGGGAGGACTGCAGATATGGAGTACCAAACACAACAAAGTCTGCTTGTTTTATTCCCCCAGCGGTCTTACTTTACATCCAAGAACAGAACCCTCACAATGTAGTCTGTTATTTTCTCTAGCCATATAATTCTCCAGACCAGACACCCCAACTTGTTCCAATCTTGATATTACAAGGAATGAATCTGAGGAACTCAGCTTCAGCCAAGCAGAAAGTCTTATATTTTGAGGGATACTTTTCGGTTGTGTTTGGGGTTTGGCCCTTTTATTTTTCCTCAAGCCTTTAAAAATGCCAAAAGATAAGTCTTAGGAAGAGTCTAGGGATAACTTCATATAGTCTTCAGTTCTGCAAAGAGAAACAAGAAGAAAATAAAGAGAATACATTTTAATTGTGTCACCTTGGGTTAGTTATATATTACTAATGCTTTTATTTTTTAATAAGAGGAGAATAACTCAGTGCAGGGAAGGAGTTTTAAGGAAAGTTTCTAGACCTTTTGGGCATACACAAATAACATAAGGATGCCTCACATTTTAAGAGGTTACTTCATCGTTTGCAGCAGGATAGCCTATGCCCAAGAACATGAGTACGGTATCTACATCACCTCTCATTTTCCATCAGGAACATTTCACATTTCTTTCTAACCCTATCAAGTGAAAACTGACAAGGATCTCGTGGACATTTGGGGAAAAGATAAATACAGAACTGTGTTTGTACTAAGTGCTATCTTCTTTAGCAATCCCGTGATTTGTTGCTCAGACTCATGAACCAGCCCTATGGGTTCAGATGTGGGGATTAAAATATGAGCTGTTCTATTTGTCAGAAGCCAGTTTCGCCAAGCCCAGAATTGGAACTTGCAATGAGTGGGACTGTCATACTGCATAGCTATCAACAAATTCCTTTTTGTACTGGTAGCAAACACTTTCCAAAAATGTATCCAGTCTAGGAATGCTACTTTCATTTTCAACTGCGTGTTTTTGTAAGTCAAATATTAGGTTCATAAATATTAAGAAAACATATGCTTGGTGAGGATCGTTTGGTGATGATGTGGATACTTGTAAACCATTTATCATAGACTGCTACTGAAATGGCTATTTGATTGTACATAACATCCAGTTCTTAAATATCAGCCAATGTATAAAATGTAAATGCTGTACTTTTTAAGTTGCAAAAAGTCTTACTGCTGCACAACCTTTTTTCTCTTTTAAGTTGAGGACAGCTGAAGCAATATTTATGAATTAATGACCATCTATAATTACACAGCTGGCAGTTAATGAGATTAAAACCTAAAATGGACAATCTGAAGCTCCAGGAGCAGATTAAGCCTTCAAATCTCTCTTCTGCACACACACCCCACCTCCCCACACATTTTCTTTGTCTATAGTTGCTGTTAGTTCCTTAACATTTTGAGGTAGGAAATATGTGGACATGAAAGTATAAGATCTAAAATGCAGGTAAAAACAGGCCACAGACCCAGGGAAAAGATTGGTCCACGTGGATGACAAGCCACTTCTAATCTCTTTGGTCTTTTCCTTTTTCTTCCCAAGAACAGCTATTTCAACAGTTAGAATTGAAGAAGCTTCTTGGGTAAGAAGCAAAATGTTTTCAAAGAAAAAAACCCAAGAAAGTCTAGTTGCCTTTTGGAAAAAGCACCGTTGTGATATTTCAATATATAGCTAGTTCCTAAGTTTTATTTTAACAGATGATTGATATTAAAAAAAACGGGCCATCCCAGAGTTCCAGCTATAAGTAATTAGAGATTAGTTCTATTAAAAAAGTGGCCAACAAACTATTCTATACTGTACTGTTCTGATATGCCTGTGCTTATGCTTTATTTTTAAGTGATATATAGTGTGCTCATTTACAGCTATATTCTAAATGGCCCATTTTGTAAAGTAACTTTGGGGCAAACAGATCGAGTAACATTTGGAAGTCATTATTTTTAAGCTGTCATTAATGTTGTCGTCACAACATTAATAGCTCTGTTAAAGCTTTTCTAACTCCATCTATTTCAGCTGAAATATTTCTTCCGAGCACATACTATAAGATTAGTTGACAATGCAGGGAGAAGGAACTCACTTGCTTTCATATCCCCTTGCTTTCATATTTCCTCCCCCCCTTATTTTGGGGTCATGGTTCACATCTTCCAATCAACTTGGAAGATGTGATTTACTTCCCGTTTCTTTTTCCTGGGCTATCCTTATTCTCCTCCCTTTTTCCCTGTTGCCTGGTTTAACTATAAAAATACCAGACAGTTCTACATATTGTCAAAGCAAGAATATACAGTATTTGCAGCGTTGACAGTTAATTCAACAACACTACAGCAAGTCATTGGTATGCCAGGTTGACATCCTAATACTTTAGCCCAAAGCTACAGAAATTTTGGGAAGCTTCGGGTCATTATTGTTTACTATTATTGCAACCACAATACCATAGTAAAAGCAGCAGAATTCTCTGATTGATTTTGGGCTGAGAGAGGAGGAATATTTTCCTTGGACATGTAAAATTTATTTCAGATTTAATTTACCAATTTCCCCCCTAGGTTTGCTGTTCATTTGCTGCTGAATTACCTCAGTGATCTGAAAACCTTCAGGGCTGCAAAAACTATAGTTAGGGGATCATGCATAGCTTGTAGTTTACACCCTATCTACCATCATTCCAAAATGGTTTATTTTTGCTAACATACTAACAATTATTATTTAAACCGATGCCTTTATGTTTTACCTGAGAAACTCTAAAATTGCCTGGAGTAATTCTTTGTTATGGAACTGTTTAATATGATGGAATGTTATCTAATTCTTATCATCTCTTTTATGAGGACATACTTGGAAAATACAGGTCAAAGCTGAGAGCTGACTTTCAAACTGGGAGCTTCGAAGGTTATATCTGGAAAACAAGTTCATCCAACTTCTTTCAAAATTCCATGAATGAAGCAGAATGGTAAAACTTTCATTCATACAGTCCCATGGCAGATGCTAATTTTCAAATGTCCTGATAGTTTCCTGATTTTGACTCACCTTTTATCGCTTGCTATCAAAGAACTGCACCCACAACATCTAGCTGCAGGCAGAAAATGGCTGACCATGACAGGGTCAGAAATACGAATAAGGAGACAAATTCCTTGTGTGTCCAGTCACACTTGGGCAATAAAGAATTCTATTCTATGAAGTATAGAAGAATATACTGTGAAAACTGCAGATAGGCTAATGAGAACTAGAAGCTGAGCAAAAATGGAAAGCAATCAAGGGCTCAAAGTAGCTTTCCTTGTCATCCTCCCCCCCCCCCCCATTCTCTTGAGCAGAATACTGCAGCTGTAGAGAAAAAAAGAATATCCATTAAAGGACTCTACAATTCCTGTAGAGTCTTATGGAGATGGTTTTGAGGGGAATATTCAGCAGCCATCTCTCAGACCCAGAAAAAAAGACAGAAGCAATCCTTAAAGTATGGGGGGGAAAGGTAATATTTGGAAGAGATTCAGGCTGGCTCCCCCTGGACTCACTAAGTGGGAAGAGAGGAAAAACACAACCAGATTTGTAAGGTTCTGTTAATATAGCTTATTTCTATAAAGTTGACTTCTAATTTTCTTGTTGAATCTGTTTCCTGATGTAGACAACCCCAAAAGGCTAGAATTTTCTCCAGTGTGATTTATTTCTTAATATAAATTTTTAAAAAAGCCAAGATCAATTCTATGCCAGGCACATTTAGGAAATGTGTCACAAAAGAGAATCAGGTACAGGCATAAAAAAACCCATCAAATTTTTATATGTCAAAATACAAAATCGGACTGTACAGTTAAGAAAACTTACTACTGCTTTTGAAAAATAATAGCAATTGTAAAAGCATAGAGCAGTCAGCTACTTTGTAGTCCAAAGCATCTTTTTGATTTGCCAGTTCTTTCCATACATTGTTGCTGAATTTTTCACAAGGTGTTCTGGTGCCCCAAACCAGGTAACTGCTAGAAGAAATACGTCTTGCTGCCCGAAAATATTGGGTGAGCCAGATTGCTGATATTTGGGAGATTATAACTGATCTGCTTTTTCTATCCTACTTCTTTAGTAAATAAAATTTACTAAATGTGCATTAGGTTATTTTCACAAATAATATCTGCAGCAATATCCGGGTCTTTCTACTGGTTGGATCAGGTCATTGCTAAAGTTACTCAAAATCACAATCCAGATGAAATAGCTTACTGAAGCCTTAGTGAACCTATTGGGCAATGCATGGGATTTCACTATGGCTGGAAGGCACCCAGGTGAAAAAGCTGACTTATGAAAAGTGGTCTGCTCTGGAAATCTTTCATGGGTTAACACCGAGGTCCCCAACCTTTTGGGCACCAGGAACCGGTTGCGTGGAGAGAGGTTTTTCCGCAGACCGGAGGGTGCACGGTTTTGTGTGCTGCCTGCATCTTGTAGATGGGGCTTTGCTTGTTTGTGCAGACCGGATGCCACGGCCTGGTACTGGTCCACGGGGGGACCCCTGGGTTAACAGACTGAACAGCATTTAAACTTAATTTGAAGAGTAACATTTTCTACCCTCATACCCTGAAGAGGACAAGGGCAATAACTGAAATTTGACAACAATACCTGTTGCTCCCAATCTGGTTTGACTGGGAATAAACAGTAACTGTAGTCTAAGACATCCAGAAACCCCAGGCTGGGGAAAGAAACACTTGGCAGTTTTATTGAGTGCACCAACTCCCCCAAAGTGTTTGCTCATCCTTCTTGCCCAACCTTCTATCGTGCTGCAGAAGATGAAATGAAAAAAGGAGCAGAAACTTACCAGCCTCTCTTATCCCAAAGAAGCACCATGCTGGATAGGAAAGCAAAGGAGTGAGAGGAGGAGAAGGAGGAGGAGGAGGAGGAGGCAAGTGTAGAGGAGGCAAAGGACATGAAGAGGTGAAGGTATTTATCATCCCAAGGCAACACATAAACACACAGGGTTTCAGCAAGCAAAAATTATGGAGAAGTTAGCAGAAGAGCATGCACTGAAGAGCAGGGTTAGCAGATGCCAAGGGGTAACTGTTGCAAGAGATCCCCACCCTTATGAAGGCTGGTGTTTGGGAAAAGGTAAACTGGAAAATTTTTTGGATGCCTTGATTAATCTTCTGCTCCTTTGGCTTATATACAGGAGCTGTTATGAATTTCCAGTCCAAATTTAAGTATAGTTTACACACCGATTTGTTGTTATAAGAAGACAATTTTTTTCTTTTTTAAAGAAAAGAAGAAGCAGACCTCAAATGGAAAACTCTGCCCCCTCTTGCTGTACCTTCTTGGATTTCAGCAAGGGATTATGGACCAATAGCTTTTAATGACAGATGTTGTTCTTTCATTTAGGTGATTTGAGTTTGA